TGTTGCAATCGCTGATTCTGTATTGTTTCTGATGGCCTCCCAGTCAAGGTGCAAATTTGCGACTGTTTCAGCATACCGACCCATGCTGTGCGCAGACTCAAGTCAGCTAACAGCGGGGAAAACCATACATTGTTCCATCCCGCCATATCTCAGTGAATAAGAGGTACCAGCTGCTGTGGCAGGGTGAATGATGATTACCAGATTACAAGGACAACATGACGGTGAAATGATTTACTCGAGGTCTAAATCTTAATTTAGTCTAACATTATGGCAAAACATGATGGGATCAAATGAAATAAAGACGACCTTAGCAAAGTGAAATGGGAATTATGAAGTTCAGATTTTAGACGACGACCCTTTTTATCGTCTCGACACCAAGCTGTAACTGAACGTTCTTACTTTGAAGAATGGTTCTGACGATCCCCTCTGGGCGGTCCAGCTCACGGTCCCAACGAGTAGTTAGAGGTATCGTGAATATCTGCTGGCTAATTGGCTGCCACGGCAAGCCGGGTAGGGGTCCATTAACAGCGTCAGTGGAGATGTTGATGGGTCACATCTTGGCGTCAGCTGCTCCGGGTTGATTGAACTGTATTCTCGCAAAAAGAATGAAGTCGAGACAGATCTTGATGGCCAATCTTAATCAGCTTGAATTATAAAAATACCTTTGTGAAAGATAATGAACAAAAACTAACTTCAAAACACTTTATACTTAAGATGTAGAGAAAAATATAAGAAAACGTGAGGCAGGAACAAAAAAAGAAAAGTTTTACGCTCGTAAAGTTAAGACACAAAGGAGTGTGTGACTGAAAATAAAAGAGACAACTAAAAGGGAAGTAGCCAGGAAGAGAGAAGAAACTAAAGCTGAAGTGAGACGCTCTTATCTACCAGAGAAAAGAAGGGTGGGTTTTCACCCACTCGGGGAGACTGCGCCCACATTTATGGTTCGGATCAATTTAGCAAAAAAAGCTTTGCTTTTGAAGCACGACAACAAAGATAAATCCTTATTGTCATATAACACAAACATTCTGATAGTTTCAACTTCTCCAATATTGGTTGCCCCTCCAAAAGAATGGCAAAATTGGTTCCTTATCCCTTGGTTCTCAGCAATCCCACCTTTGTTGAACAGCTTGCCATTCCATTCTTTTCAGTGGGGCTCAGATTAATATTGGGCCTGGCCCCAGAGAGGGACAGGCTCCTGGCTTTAGTTTTACCTGAGCCTGAAGTGAGTACAGGCAACCTGGGCACCATCTGCTGAGGTTGCTTTCATCTACTAGTGAGGTGTGTTGCAACCAGGTGAGGAGCTCACCAAGTTGACCCCTACCTGGCCACATCCCAGGATGTCCTGCGTATCTCAGTCCTAGCTGGAGAGCAGAGCCGAAGCATGCTGTTACTCTGCACGGCATGCCAGCAACAACCAAGGTGGTTTTGCATTGGTGAACATACTTTGGATGAATACAGCTGTTCCTCACAGTGAAAAGCACAAGTGGTGATGCCCTGAGGCTATGATGTGCAAAACTGGACCTTCAGTCCTGTCCTGGGATCGAGATTTAGTCATCAGTGTACTGCAGCATCCCTTTTATGAGCCTCTTGGGGATGCAGTCTCAGAATGGTTTTTGTTGCTTCTGCCAGAAGGATAAGCAAGCTACATGCACTGGCTGTTTATGATGACTAGAGGGTAGGAGGGATCAATCTTAGTCCTTCATTATGATGAGCTGTGGGGCGTCAAAGGGCAAGCCAGTGTGTATTAAAGTAATATCCTCTGACGAACAGGGGATCATAACCCGTACATGTTACATATGTTGGCAGATAGTCTTTTTATAATGTAACCTTATGTTCACCACAGCTCTCATCCGATGACTTGCTTGTTACCCTCGGGCCGTAACACAGGAAACCCGCCCTAACACAATAAGCCACGCCCTAACATGATAAAACATACCCCTAGAACACTACGCCCCTCCCTTAACCAAGAAAAGTCCGGCCCTAATACAATAAACCACGCCTCTAACCATATAAGCCACATCTCTAACACAATAAACGATGCCCTTAAGACAATAACCCTGCCCTTAACACAATTAATACTGCTTCTGCTGGACCCGAACCTTCTGTTGCCAGGGTTACAATGGCCCCAGCCTTTCGGCTAACGACTCGACCGGCCGTGTCTGAGAACATGGCACAGTTTACAGTTGACTTCAGCACAGAGAGGTTGGGGCTTCAGCGGCTTCATTTCCTGCCAGGTGAGTTGACCTTTCTGCTGTGAACTGATACAAATGAAATTACAGAAAATAATTATATAATAATAATGATTATAATAAGAAAAGATACCACCATTTACTATTAGTATTGACAAACACTACCTTGTACTGTGTCACATGGTTTACTGTTGTTGTTATATTAGTGGGTTGTCATGGAAAAATTAAACCAGTTTCCATGACAACGAGCAGATGAAGAACAAGTCAGTAAACACAAGTTGTTCTGACTGTTCATTTTTATAGTTCCAAGAGCTCCAGAGATCGACGTCGCCAACTGTGTTGTCTGTGACAACACCATCTCTGTTGCCTGGCAACCGGCTGGGGATGCTGACAGCGACAGTGGAAGAATTGAACGCTATGAAGTCGAATACCGAAAAACAAACCGCGACTCCTCGCTGAGAGCAGCAGGAGAGGCATGCTGGGAAAAAATCCATGACATCAGAGAGACAAAGGTCACGATCTCAGGTCAGAGGGTCAGAGGTCCCATTAAGTTATAATTTTAGCATGTAGCTTTATGTTAGTTGATAGCATTTAGCTGTTAGCAGAAGCTGCTGCAGAGTCTTCAGGTTATTGTGTTAAATGAATGATTTTTGATTATTTTTCTGTTTCAGGTCTGAAGTTTGACTCCTACTTCGTTGTTGTTCGAGTTCGAGCAAAAAACAAGACTGCTGCTGGCGAGTTCTCAGAGCCGGTTGCCATAGAAACCAGAGGTAAACATGAGTGAGTGAGTTCAGTGTGTGACAACAAAGACACTGCAGGAATAAATGTTGGAAGACTTTTGTGTTTTTTTATTATTTAAGTCTATTCTTTTTTCGTAGCATATAATTTTGGCTTTGATGCAGCGACGGCTCACGCTGAGCTGAAGATCACAGGTGATACTGTAACCTGGGAGCCACAGGGGGTCAAGGGTCATGACCCCCGCCTGAGAAGCAAAGACAATAAAAACAGGTGAGTTACAGTTCATAAGTGAAGACAGGGTTTGACTGAGAATCATGGGAGTTGAAGTCACTGACTGGTAACAGTTTTGGTATGTTAACAGTTGATTTGGACGCAGGCAGGCGGTCCGGGTTCGAGTCCGACCCATGGTTCCTTTGCCACATGTCGTTCAACAGGCTATCCTCTGTTCTGCTCTCTGGTTAAGGCAAAGTAAAGCTTTAAAATTTTTTTAAAAACGTTAACTACAGCCACTCAGTGGACTGAAAGAGCCTTTTCATCCCGTCAGTCTCCCATTAACAAACGTTACAAACGTGAGCCGAGATCAGACCAACATTGACAGCTTGACGAGACGCTCAAGAGTTCAACTCTTCTGTCTTTTGTTTTATTCAAACACGTCTGAAGAGTTAAGTACACCTGAGAGCAGCTGACTGTGGCTTGTTGCCATGGTCACAGAGTTGAGGCTCTTCAGAGAGGTGTGGAGAACATGGAGGCTTTAAAGAAAGTATCATCTGCATACAGAGTGATTTTGTTGTATTTATATGTTCTAACCTGCTAAACGTGCTTATTTTTAATCAGTGCACGAATTGATTTAATTGATTTCTTAATCGATGTTTGGTTGTGTGACCCTGTGATCGTTGATCTTAGCGTCAAGTCTCTTCTTTCACTATGAGGTCACTTCCTGTGGGCTGAGCGTTGTTCAGCGCACGAACATTCATGATACAGATGCGTGACCTACATTAGGGTGATTCTCTGATATAATTATAATGTAATAATAATGATAAGATCAAGATATATTTATGTATGTAACAATACGAAGATGTCGTTGAAATGATTAAACTGTTTCTTTGATGTGTTTGTGTTATTTGACCTTTTTGTCCCTTTGCAGTCTCCGTACTGCCTCCTCTCCGTCATGCTCAGGTAGTCTTTGATTACTGGTTGCCTAGCAACAACCTTGCTGCCAATCACTTTCTCCACCCGCCATCTCTCACAGCATTTAGCCAATCAGTTCACTGCTGACATCATCAACACATTGTGTTTATTTGACAGTGATTCTCGTTCTCCAACAACTTCCTGTTTTGATTTGATAAAGTTTTATTTCATTTTTAAAACTTTTTACAGAAATAACCATTGCTGAATGAGGAAGGTTAAAATGTTTATTCATAATTTAACTTCTGTTTTAGGTTTTCATTTCCTCTGTTGCATCATCGCTTTCACACGACTTCATTGGCTGTTTCACTCGTTTTCTACTTTTATTTTTTCAGGGTTTTTTGCTCTTTTCAATTCTGAGATGTTTTTTTTTTAAGCAGCAGAAGCGCGACGCCTTCGCCCAATAAGACGACAGGAGGTCGAGGAGGACGCGACCGATTTGCCGGAGAGTCGTACACAGTGCTGGGTATTTATAGTTTAGATTATGAAACTGATTTTTAAATTTATTTTATTTTAAAATCATTCATTTTGATTAAGTCATTGATCTCTTCTGACTCACCTTTTTAACTGATTCTGTTTCCTAGGTGACCTTGAGATGACAGGCGGCCTTCACTACTGGGAGCTCCGCCCCCTGGCGGACTGGAAATCATTCAGTGTGGGCGTGGCTTATAGGCTAAGCCTGGGCCGATACGACCAATTAGGAAAGAGTGCTGGTTCGTGGTGTCTCCATGCCAGCCAATGGCTGCAGAGCTCTCTCGCTGCAAAGCACAACAACCGAGCCAAGGCGCTCGATTGGCCGCTGCCTCAACGAATCGGAATCTACTGTGACTATGATAATGGTACTTTGAAAACATGGTTGTCATGTGACTGTCTCTGTGTTTCATGTGGTCATGTGACTGTCTCTGTGTTTCAGGTGAGCTAGCGTTCGTTGACGTCGATCGACTTCAGCTTCTTCACTCCTTCAAAACAAGGTTTAGCCAGCCGCTTGTCCCCGCCTTCACCGTGAGTATAAACTTCAGTCACACTACAATCACACTTCAGTCATACAACAATCACACTACAGTCACACTTCTGTCATACTTCAGTCACACTTCAGTCATACCACAATCACACTACAGTCACACTTCAGTCACACTACAGTCACACTTCAGTCACACTACAGTCACACTTCAGTCATACTACAATCACACTACAGTCACACTTCAGTCACACTACAATCACACTTCAGTCATACCACGGTCACACTACAATCACACTTCAGTCACACTACAATCACACTTCAGTCATACCACGGTCACACTACAGTCACACTTCAGTCATACCACAATCACACTACAGTCACACTTCAGTCACACTACAGTCACACTTCAGTCATACCACAATCACACTTCAGTCATACCACAATCACACTTCAGTCATACCACGGTCACACTACAGTCACACTTCAGTCATACCACAATCACACTACAGTCACACTTCAGTCACACTACAGTCACACTTCAGTCATACCACAATCACACTTCAGTCATACCACAATCACACTACAGTCACACTTCAGTCACACTACAATCACACTTCAGTCACACTACAATCACACTTCAGTCATACCACGGTCACACTACAGCCATACTACAATGACACTACAGTCATACTTCAGTATATATATATTATATATTAATCGTTATCTGTAATAATAATAAATTAATATTATTAATTTCTGTTGCAGGTCTGGTGTGGTGGCATCACCGTGGTCACAGGCATGCAGGTTCCGAGCTTCATGGGTAATTTTCTTTCCACCAATCGGAGCCTCAGTAATCTTTCACAGTAAAACAAAGTTTCCCAATCAAATTAATTTAATTCTTACAATCTTATAATTTATTTATTTAATTTATTAATTTTTAATTGAGTTCTAACTTGTAAAACATTTTATTTTCATAAATAAATATTTTTTTGTTGTGAAATCATTAAAATAATAAATATGACGCTGAGGTTTTTATTATTATGAAGTTCATTTTGTGATGTTTTCACTTTGATATAAAAATGTGTTCGTGATTTGATTCATTCAAGTTAAGATTCTACAGTAATTATTTTTTTCTGCTCTCATAGATTTATTGAGTGCTTTTATTTTGAAAAAAAGGGTTTTGTGAATGATAGACCTTTTAGCATTGAGAGAATATTTCCTGTTTCAACTTGAAGAGTGTAGTTTATTTTGAATGTTATCTGTGGCAGTCTTTTGTTTTGACAGACTGACAAAATTAGATAAAGTATTTCAAGCTTTAATTTTGAAGGTTATGATAGAAACTTCCTGTAACTTTAAGAAAAAGAAAGTCATATATACCTGAAATGTGATTTATAAATGTTCATATTTATTTCATGTTGTGACTCAAAATCAAAGTTTTGTATCAAATTAAAAGTTTGTTATCAAAGAAAATAATTAAATGGAACAATGTGAAAACTTTTGTCTGCTTTTATTCTGAAGGAATCCTCAATTTTACTTTAAAGTAGATTTATAAGCATAGAACAGACAGAAACCTGGATCAGAACCAGACTCATGATGTGTGTGTGTGCGTGTGTGTGCGTGTGTGTGCGTGTGTGTGCGTGTGTGTGTGAGTGTGTGTGTGTCTGTCTGTGTGTATGTTTCTGTGTGTGTGTGTGTGAATGTGTGTTTGCGTGTGTGTGAATGTGTGTTTGCGTGTGTGTGTGTTTGTGTATTTGTTTGGTGCAATGTGTGTGTGTGTGAATGTGTGTTTGCGTGTGTGTGTGTGTGTGAATTTGTGTTTGCGTGTGTGTGTGTTTGTGTATTTGTTTGGTGCAATGTGTGTGTGTGTGAATGTGTGTTTGCGTGTGTGTGTGTGTGTGTGTGTATGTGTGTTTCTGTGTGTGTGTGTGTGTGTATTTGTTTGGTGCAGTAAATTACTCATGAGGGTAGGGGGAGTCTCCATGGCAACATAACAACAGAGCTCAGAGACAAGAAGGAAACGGAGCAAAGGACGAGAAGACAAAACTGAGACGAAGCAAAGGAAAAGGTGAACAGGAGAGGAGGTGAGAGGAGGAGGAGAGGAGGAAAGGAGAGGAGAGGAGGAGGTAAAGAGGAGGGGGAGGTAAAGAGGGGAGGAGAGGAGGAGGTAAAGAGGAGAGAAGAGGAGGTAAAGAAGAGAGGAGAGGAGGTAAAGAAGAGAGGAGAGGAGGAGGAGGAGGAGGAGGAGGAGATGAGGTAAGAGGAGAGAAAGAGGTAAAGAGAGGAGGAGCGGAGGAGAACAGGAAGAGAGTAGAGAGATAGTTTTCAGAGTAGTTCAGCTGCCTACATTTCCCATAATGCTGCAGTTTAGTTGATCAAGTAACGAAAATATTTTTTTGGTTCTTTTTCCTGTAAGTCATGCTGACCTGTTTCCGTGGCAACCGAGAGGAATTTTATGGCGAAGTTCTCCTATTGGATGAGAGGAAGATTACATTAACGGGCAATCAAGGCCTCAAAGTGAGAGAGAACTTTTTGTTGACTTTGTAGTTCTTAAAATGTAAATAACACACCGAAACATCTCACAACACACACACACACACACACACACAGACACACACACACAGACACACACACACACACACACACACACACAGAGACACCCTAATCTCCCTTTCTCTCGCTTTTTGTGCTTTGAGCAATGAGATGAACTCTTTTTCCTTCTCTTTAGAAGTCCTCACGGGCAGCGGCCATCTTGGACCAGGTGTTTTCTCTGCTGCAGGTGGAGGAAGTGGAGTTTTTTGGTTTGAGGTTCTGTGATGACAAACAGCAGATGGTAGGAGAACGATCAAACTGATCAGACTTATAGATATTAATGTATAGATTTTGTAGGTTACCATGACGATTACAAAGGAATTACCTTGGAAGAGGAAAACTGGGGCAACCCCCTGAGGCCAGACCAGGGAGCTCGAAATGAGGATCACCTCATCTTCAAGGCTAAGATGGGGGGGGGGGGGGGTGATTGGGAGGAACGGTCACCTCGACCTGAACCCAAGTGGTGCTTTCTTTTTGACTTCTGTGTTAGTCATCAAGCATTGTTGTGGAAGTGGGTCCGAGGAGATGCAGCCAGAAAACAGTCACTGCCTATCACGGCGGCAACCTTAGGAAAGAAGCCGTCAGACTGAAGAAGGAGACCTTTTGGGTTTGGTTAGTCCAGTGGTCTCTAGAAGCAGCTGACAGGTATCGGGAGGCTCGGAGGGCTGTGGGGTGTGGGAGGAGTTCGGAAGACTATAGAGAAGGACTTAAAAACTACAAAGTTCTGGCAAACCGTCTGATGGCTCAGGAAAGGAAAGCAGGGCTTGAACCAGACTGTTATTAGCATGGGTGAAGAACTGCTGACCCAGACTGGGGATATAACCCCTAACCAATGCTACCTCTGAAGGGAGTCTGGAGATCCGGGGAAAGCCTGAGCACCATTCTTAGCAGAGGTCACTGAGGAAGTTTGAAAGCTAAAATGTAGCTAAATGTGTTTTGTGGACACATGTAGACAGGACCCTACAGGGCTGTAGGTTCTTGTTAGGGGTATTGCGGGAATATGGGGTCCCAGGGTCGTTGCTAGAAGCCATCAGGTCCCGGTCCTGGTTCCTTGTGCATGTTGGCCTTTGCCAGAGATGCCCCTTGTCACTGATTCTGTCCCTGAATATGTTTTTATTTCTGCAGCACTGGTTGGATCCTTCCAGAACAATCTACCAACACAGAGAGCTTAGTAAGTTCACTAAGCTATAACTGATCAAACAGGAAAGTCAATGGCTTTTGAAATATATTTCAGGTTTGAATCTGATATTTTTTGCACTCTCATGCAACGTGTCCATCGGTGGCAGCACTCACTGCCTCCGTTTGTCACCAGCGCTCCTTTTTGTTAAGTTAGGGTGTGAACTCCTGCTCCCTCTGTAATCTCTGTGTGTTTCAGCTCTATGTGTTTAATATTTGCTTTAATTCAAAGAAATGTCACCAAGAAAATATGAAGACAATTTAAAGGATATCAGTAGTCCCTTCTTGATTTTGATTGGTTATGAAGGAGTAGTCACATTTACGAGAGCGATGCTGTTCTTTAGTGCGCAGGATAGGGAGCACTAACAAGGCTGAACTACAAACGAGCACAAAACACAGCTCAACATTTTTCATTTTACACATTTGTTTCGTTCTACAAAAAGCTGAAAAGATGAAAATCTAATTTTAAAGTAATGTTCTCTGTTTGTCACAGTTGGACCTCCGTACATTTTCTACTTTGGAGTTAAATTTTATGTCGAGGATCCGTCCAAACTGAAGGAGGAAACTACACGGTGCACTTATAACATTTACTTCATTTATTTCATTTTTCCTTAAGAGACTTAAGGAGGTAGGTTGGGGGGGGGGTTAGGGGAGGGTTTAGGAGATAGGTTGGGGGGTTAGGGGGAGGGGTTAGGAGGTAGGTTAGGGGGGTTAGGGGGGTTAGGGGGAGGGGTTAGGAGGTAGGATGGGGGGTAAGGGGGAGGTCAAGTTGGATCTCTGATTCATAAAAAATGTCTTTTAGCAGCTTCACTTCCTGCCCAAATAAATCTAACGGGTTGGACACATTTCTTACCATTTGAGGTGTTGAATAAAGATTTGATTGGTCATCATATCTTGTTTTTTCTTAACATTGTGATCATTGGAGGAACATTGTTTCTCCATCAGGTTTCAGTTTTACCTGCAGGTGTGTCAGGATGTGCGGCGAGGTCGACTGCCTTGCCCCGCCTACCTCAAACCTCGACTCTTTGCACTGATGCTGCAGGGTGAGAAAAAAATGATTGATTATTTATAATGTAAAAATGTAAACTTTTCTTAATTATAATTTGAATCAAAATATGAGGCAATAAACTCTAAAAATGTTGTTCAGGATTTATCTCATTTTATTTTTATTCATCAATTTTCATTGTAATTCAATTCCAGCTGATGGAGGGGAGTGGAGGAAGGCGGAGCAGAGGGAGGTGGGGCAGGTGGAGGCGGGGCAGAGGGAGGCGGGGCAGATGGATGACAAAGTCAAAGACATCTACAGATCAATCGGGTAGGAAAATTTCACACACACATGATCATTTAGTTATTTGTGTAGATATAAATATTAATCATCCCTCTCTCTCTTTTTCCCTCATGGGGCAGTGGTGTCTCTCGCCCTCAGGCTCAGTCCCTCGTCCTCTCTCTCTCCAGTTCTCTGCAGATGTTTGGAGTTTTTCTGTTCGCTGCATACGTAAGATCAATAATTCACTAAACACAACACTTCATGTATTTTGTAGACTTTCACAGTTTCTTCTGTCCGCTCACACTGATGTTATAATAATATTAATAATAATATTAATAACAATAGCTTAGATTACAATTATATCAGTTCATGTCATTAATATCATTTTGTTACATATTTGCTTTTTTATTTAAAAAAGTTTATGTATAAAACAAATCTGAAATCATTTTATTGTTTATTTATGTCTATATTATATTAAATTAAATTTAGCTTAATTTATCTTCTTTTTTCCCCCATGATTCATTGCCAGGGTGAAAACCAAACTGAGTACTTCCTGGGTCCAACTCCAGTGGGAGTGGTCATCTACAAGAACAAAGTGCTGGTTGGAAAATATTTCTGGTAGGAGTGAGACCTCACTTATTATCTTTGATATTTATACACAGGGCGGCCATGTTGATGTTACATCAAGTCCAGAAACAAATCAGTCAGGCTTTAAGCGGGGCCACTCTACTGAAACTGCACTTCTGTCAGTAACAGAATCGCTATGAGCTGCCAGAGCTGCGGGTCAGTCTTCAGTTCTATTACTGATAGACCTGTCTGCTGCCTTTGACACAGTTAACCATCAAATCCTCCTATTCACGCTCTCTGAACATCTCAGGATCTTCCCTCTGCTGGTTCGTGTCCTACCTCTCTGGGCGATCCTTTAGAGTGTCATGGAAGGGAGAAGTGTCCAAAGTGCACAGCTTATCCACAGGGGTACCTCAGGGCTCAGTGCTTGGTCCCCTTCTTTTCTCCATATACACAAGCTCACTTGGTTCAATAATCTGCTCTCATGGCTTCTCATACCACTTCAGCTCTTCCTGTCATTCCCGCCAGATGATGTTACAGTCTCTGCAAGAATCTCGTCATGCCTTGCTGATATAAATGGATGAGTGTGTGCTATCATTGCAGTGTGCAATCATCAGAATCAGAATTAGAATCAACTTTATTGGCCAGGTATGCTTTACACACAAGAGATTTGACTGGTGAACTGAGCTCTCTATGTACAAAAAGTACAACATTAAATACATAGAATAAGCAAAGACTAAAATGTAGAAGGCTAAATAAGACGATAGTGCAGCGGTGAGTAGTGCAAACATGCTGAGAAGAACATGGTAATAAATATGTAAATATGTGACAGGTTGTTAATATACATGAGGTAGAGTTTTACAGTATTTACATGATTGATAAATACAGTTGTATATCATTCCAAGAGGTGAAGATGACGTTTATATTTAACACACAGGTGTGCATGTCTGACCTGTCTGATAGAACTAGATGTAACGACTTGTTCAACTTCTAAATGACCTATAAAATGATATTTAATGACCTGTTAGTTACCATCAGCCCCAAGGTTAACGTTACCTAACAATGACATCAAACTCTGGTTAGCTTAGGTTAGCATTCAGCTCTTGTTAGCAACTCTAGCATCAAGCACACAGATTCTCTGTAACTAACTACAGGCCGATCAAACTACCTGTCATCTCTAAAATAATAGAAACATTAAATGATTACACCGCATAGTGCCATCACCATGTTCCTCGAAAAACAAAATGTTTCCTGGACAGAAAAGGTTGTGATGCTGCTGTGTTTTTAGATTTGATAAGGGCATTGACATGGTTTATCACCAAGTTCTCATAGATTAGCTGACTGACATGAACTTCTATGAACAAGTCTTACCTTTAAAACAGGAAGCAGAAAACATATCTATGTATCTAACCCCAGTGTAATACTGCTGATTGATCGTCACTTGTTGCTCATGTTAACAAGGCAAGGCAAGGCAAGGCAAGGCAAGGCAAGGCAAGACAAGGCAATTCAAAGTGCTTCACACAAGACATCAAAAGCATCATGACAGAGGAAAGAAAATAAACATTAAAATAGAAAATTTTAAATCACTGAAATTATTAAATCTAAACATATATTCAAATAGAAATAATTCAAATGAAATTAATTGAAATAAATAAAGTAAAAATATAAAAAGAGTTAAAAGTTACAGTGCAGAGTTAAAATTTAAAATCTTGAAAGGCAGCTGTAAACAGGTGTGTCTTCAACTTCGAATTAAAAGAGCTGAGAGTTTCAGCAGACCTGCAGTTTTCTGGGAGTTTGTTCCAGATATAAGGAGCATAGAAACTGAATG